AATATCGATACAGAATTCTTCAAGAAATGTTTTATCGTAGCCGTAAAGAATTCTTTTCGAATTGTTGTTTTCGCGAAGCGTTGTTAGAATCTGCGCATGTGCAGTGTGCCTGTTTGTCGTTACCATGGCAACGGATTGTGAAGCAGTTAGCAGCACTAGGCGACGGTGCACGGGCAGTGACGGGCAGCGCTAATTCCGTACTTCGAACGATCGAGATCAAGGTGCGTATATTCCGTGTGTTCCGTGGACTGTGTGTTCGGACGCTATTTAGTGCTAACAACCACATTCGACGTTGGATGCGAACGCGTTCGGATCCAACATCGAACGTGTTTCGTTCCGATTATTTTTGTCGATTGCATCACAATCGGCCGCCACTAGTTTGCCGCCGCTGGCCTTTAGTGTGCCATCAGTGTACATACATACACGAACACTGCTTCTTATGGCCAATTTCTTCACCGTCGGATAACTCTATCCTTCGGTTAACCTCACTCTTCATCTTTTTCTAAGGAGGCAGTTAGAAAGAGATGAAGAGTGAGGTTAACCGAAGGATAAAGTTATCCAACGATGAAGAAATTGGCCCTTAGGAAGCTTTCTCTGTTTTTTTTTTGTCTGCCTCTTCTCTGTTTCTTTTTTCTCTACCTGCCTCTTTATCTGTTTGTCTTTGTCTTTTTTCTCTTTGTGCTTTTCTTTCTTTCTTTTTCTTTACCTGTCTTTCTCTTTGGCTGCGTTCGTTTTGGGCGCTCACGCGGTGTAAGCTTCATTATATCTTTATCGCTCACTATATGCAGAAGGAAGATAGAATAAAGCTTACAGCATGGAGGTAAGAATAACAGGAGGGAGCGTAAACTGCGGAGTATGAAGCCGGAGACGTGAGAGGAAATCGTATTCTGGCCATCTTGATAATACATAACTTAATTCTTCTTCTACCAAATTAAGAAAAAGAAGGATAAGTTATGTACTACCAAGACGGCCGCTTATGATTTCCTCTCACTTCTCTGGCTTATTCATACCTCTCGCCTAAAAGCTTGGTTTACGCTCCCTCCTCTTATTCTTACCTCCATGGCTTACAGCATGTAAACAGCCAAATCAAACGCAGCCTCTGTTTCTCTGTATCTGTCTTTTAATTATTATCTTTCTTTCTGTCTCTTTCTTACAGGCTCTGATAGTTTTCACCAGTTCCATTAGCTAATCGGACCTCAACGTGTTACAACCTGCTACATGGTAAGGACATTTTCAAATTTCTTGTAATCCTGTTTTTTTAATATCTTTGATTATTTGCGTATTGCATGCCTAAAAATGTTTGTAATAAATATAAACTTGTAAAAAAAATAAAGTTTAATAAAATTAAATAACATTTAATAATAAATTCAATATTATTAATATGTAAGAAATGAAATAAATAATACTGAAATTTAATTTAATTTAAAAGGATATAATAAAAATCGAATAACATTTCATTTTTAATTGTGCATTTATAGAATATTGTGATATTAATTATTATGTCTCTTTCTTACAGGTTCTGTTGTTTCCATCAGTTTAAATCAGTTAATCATGTCATGACTGATTCACTGGCGAAAATTTATTCCTGGTCTGGGCAGCGTAAAACACTGAAGTTCAGTTCAACTGTAATTTGTCAATTGATTATCAGTGAGTTTCTTGAAAATCAAAATATAATTCAAAACCTGCTTATATAAACGTGTCTTATGAAGCACTTTTTTTTGTTGCAGAAACTATTTCCAAGCAAACAGATGCGACCAGAACGAGCATCAAAGAAATTATTAAATCGTGGTTGCAACATGCAACGGACAGGATGCGATAACTAATTGCGATAAGTTTCTATAACTAAAGTTTCTATAAGTTTTACTAGTTTTTATAAGTTGTACAGTTGTACACTATAAGTAAATTCATAATAAGTTTATATATATTATAGTTCATATATTATATAACTGTTTTTATAATAAGTTCAATAAATAATAAGTTTTGTATACTTTGTATAAGTTTGTACAAATTTTGTATACTCATAACTTATTTATATAAATTCGTCGTTTTTATATAACTTTTCTATATAACTATATATAACTTTTGAATATATGAAATAATAAAAACTGATTATTAAAAAATGCGAAATTTTTTAATTATGTATATTCAGGACGCGAGGAGTTACGTTTCAGGGGATATTGTCCATGGTGATTCAATATATTATAGAAGCCCGCGAAAAGTTACTCCTTTACGCCTTCAAAGTATACAATAAAGAAAACGGAAATACGGAACTTAACTGTAAGGTAAAATGTATTATGATAGAAAATACTGTATTAAAATATTAATAATGTTTAACTTCTGATATAACTATATATAACAATACATCTGACGTTGAAGCATATGAAGCTTATAATACACTTTAACTTACATTTCTATTTCGTACAGAGATCGAGGAATAGCGATGGGCGCGTTCATCAGGTGCCAACAGTTGCAAAGCTGTTCAGTGTTTCTAGTGGTTCAGTTTTTCGATGTGGTTCGTTAAGACCATTTTTGTAGCCCAATCGGAAAAGTAAACCACTAGAAACATTAAACAACTTGCAACTGTTAGCATGTGCTAAACGGGCTCAATGCGATTCTTTTATGGATTAGAGCAAGGACTCTCACAGAACTCTTTTCAAAATAGCCCTGAACAGCGCAAGAGTTCTTATCGAGCCTTTGCAGTCCCTTTAGAACTCATTTCGAACTCTTTTCTAACTCTTTTTAAACTTCCGAACTCTTGTAGAACTCTATTTGAACTATTTTAGAACTCTATTTGAACTCTTTCGAATCCTTTTGAACTCTTTTCGAACTCTTTAAGGAATACTTTTCCGTTTTTTGGACCTCATTTGGAATTTACAAAAGAATTCGCAAATGCTGACATAACT